TGATGGTGGTGATGGTGGTCACAGTGATGGTGATGGTGGTGGTGATAGTGGTAATGACAGTGATGATGGTGGTGATGATGGTGATGGTGATAAGCAGAATAAATGCGGTTCCTAGTTGAGTTGTTCAACTCCACATTGGAATTACCTAAGGAACCCATTGATAATATAGATAACCAGGCTTCCAGCCCAAATCCCAGAATCCCAGCAGTGCTGAGGAGTCTGCGCAGAGGCAGCTGGGTCTGCCGTTGACCCAGGACCGATGCACTGGGCTCCATGCTCACTAAGCTCCCTTCCCATTCTGCCTTGACGGATCATGACCGAAGTCACATACATCACCATAACCTGGGCAGCCACCACTTCACCATGGCGTTTAACGGTGGCTTGAGGGGCCTCCTCCCTGGATGTTGCCTGTGGTCACCAGATGCACATTCATGGCTGGAACGTTCCTTTGTGGAGCTGGGCATATTGCCAAGCAAAAGCATTCTGTCTCCCTTCCCTGCATACTTGAGTTCTTCCAGTCTCTTTGGATGAATCTTCCAGCCCGTGAGCTTTCCTGCCATAGACGCTGGGGCCTGTGAGGCAGCCGTCCTCTGTTGTCCAGAACTGTCCCAAGCGTGGCAGGACATTTAGGATGAGCATGCTCCAGGCGCTAACCTGCAGGAGTGTCCTCCAGGCACTGCCGTCAAGATCTGTTGTGCACGTTGCTCCTCCCCCGTTCTACGAGTAAACTCAGTCATGGTCCTAATGATGGTGACGGCGATGTTGCCACTGATGATGATTTGCCGTAACGAGCTCCTCCTCATCAATACTAAAAGCATCTAGGTGTGTGCGCTGATACATGTGATACACGTGCTTTATCAACTCTACACTGGCTCTACGCTTCTCGTAACATATACAGTGATCAGAATATTCTCTCTTCTTTTAGGAAATCAGCTAATTAGGGCTTTGACTGTAAGCAGCAAATCGTGTCTAATCTGTCAGCTCCCTCCCCTGGCGCTGGCTCCAGAGGGAGGGAGGCAGCCTGGTGTTTGGTTTTCTGCCCTGGATAATGAAGGAAGGAAGGGATTTTAAATACCAAAGGTTACTCGGCTGGCCAATTTGTCTGGAAGGCAAAAAAAAAAAAAAAAAAAAAAAAAAAAAAACAGGAAACAACCTGCCTCTCTGGGGCAAGACCTTCGATTTTAGTGAGAGCCAAGGTGAGAAGAGATGGGATGTTTTCTGTGGGCATCCGTGGCCCTTGCTGCTGTCCCACAGAGAGCTTGTCAGCACTGTGGCGGCTTCCACAGGGCCACTGGGGGCACTTATGCCCAGGAGCCTTGAGCGTTGTGTGTGCCCTCAGATCACCCCGAGCCTTCGATGGGTACTTTGCTTGCCTTTTTCTTTAAACAGGCGAGAAGATCCCCGCTAGGTCCAAAAGTAACTCAGTAAACGGCGAAGCTAGGCTTCCAACGCGTGCCCTCCCCAGGCTTTGGGGACGTTCCCATGACCCATTGACTGGGGAGGGCGGTGGCTGTCCTGGGCACAAGTCGGGCAGACACACCCGTGCCCCATGGTGTGCGAGGGGTGTGTTGCTGCCTACCCTGGCCCTTGCTGGGGCACAGCTATTCACCGGGAGGCTTGGTCTGTGGGACTTCTTTTTTTTTTAAAACTCTGGATTTAATTGTACCCCAAATATGAACGATTTGTTTGCTGAGAACATTTATATGTGTTTAAATTATATTTTTTGCTGCACTCAAAGCAAGACATGAACATGTGCTCATGGCAAAAATTAGAAGAGTGTAGAAATCCCAGAGTAAAAACCGGAAGTCCACATCGTGCCTTCCCAGGGGTTCCTGCCCCTAAACGCTCGCGCGGGTCCTGTCACACCGCTTGGACCGTTGCACGTTCTTGCACACCCACAGCTTTGCTTTCAAGCCCGGGGGGCTCCTAGCGGTATGCTCCTTTGTTGCTTGCACTTTCCAGCCCGATCCTTTGTCTCGAGTGTCCTTTGTGCCGTCTCGAGTGAGTTTGCTGGCTCTGTTTAACCGCCGTGCCCTGTGCCCCAGGCTGCGGTTCCACGTGCGTCAGCCCGCGGTCTGCAGAGGGCAGCCTCTGTGTCCCTGCCTTCCCAGAGAGTGGCCAGCATCTTCTGCGAAACCAGGGGTGGCAGTCCCTGAATCCCAGCACTCCTTCTGGGAAGAGACTCGGCATCCCCATGGGGCTGGACCAGCTGGGGCCAGAGGCAGGTGGGGGCCAGGGCTGCTCCCGAGCCCGTCCTGGGGGCCCCTGCTGCTCACGGGGAACACCTGCCATCGGCGACATTTGGAGTTGTTCAGGCGGGGCTTGTTCACCTCAGCACCATGGGGGGGCGGGATAATTCTGTGTTGCTGGGGCTGCCTTACGAACTGCATGATGCTTCACCCCACCCCTCGCCTTCACCCACTCAGTGCCAGCAGCACTCACCGTTGGGACAGCCAAATGTCCCCTCGAGGGCAAAATCCCCCCCAGTTGAGAAACACTGCCCCAGGGTATGGGGAAACTGCTTTGGATTTGCTTCTCATTGGAATTGGGGTGCACAGGCTCGGGCCGGGGGGGCGGCGGATCTCCTGACCAGCCTGACCTTCCTGCAGGGGGGGAGGACAGGATTCTTAGCACAGTTGCAGGGTGGTCCACTCTGACTTCCTCATGCCTGGTTCCGTGGGTTCTGTGGCATCCGCAGCCAGAGCCCCTCTGCACAGAGGTGGCCTCAGATGAGGCGTGAGGCAGAGCGCACCCCCACGCTTGCAGGTGACTGTTCGCACAGATGGTGACCAAAGCCAGCCATGAGTGCAGCCGAGGCCCTGGGATGCTGGCCGCTTGAGGACACAGCGGCTGGTTGGTCTTTGTCCATGTAACTCAGATCTGCCCCTGCCTGCGTCTCGTGTTCTGACCCCGGAACAGAGTCCTTCTGCTTCCGGCTTCTGTCTGCTTCCTCACAGGTGGTTTCCTCGTTGACGGTCCCTGTCATGGGGAGGAGGCCCCTGTGGGCCCCTTGCCTGGGTGGTGGGGACGGACAGCTCTGCGGCTCCTGAGAGCTCGCTTCCTCTCTCTGCTCGTGGCTCGCGCTGCC